TGACATAATCAGCAGGATTCACAAACCTGCATTCGTGACATGGGTTATCCCTCCAATGTAAATGGGAGCAGTGGGTTTAACAAGTGTATTACTCAGATGAGGGAATCCAGGATATCCTGTTAGGTATTCATACCACTGATTATGACAGGTGGTAGTTGCCATTTCTTAATATTTACTGGAAGTAGTGCTGTGAATTAGCCCTACAAAACACACTGGGCATTTCTTTCCAAACACTTTAATCCAATACTTAGATTTAGGAAGGTTATTTTCTAAAGCATTAAAGCCAATACTTTTCTCATAGCAACAATTGGGATAAAGTTTTTTCCTACTACAGTAAAGTTACATTGCTCTGCTCAGCCCTGGTGAAGTTTAAGAAATAACATCTACCTGTTGTAATATGCCTTTTCCCCCAGTACATCTTGAATAAAAAAACTTTGAAAAAGAAATCTGCTTTTTGGAAAAGTCATGTTTTATGTAAATTTTTGGGATGTCAGTTTAAAAAATCTATAGTAATTTGGATGTGGCATACAAACTACTCACAAGACTGAGGATCAAGAAAGTTTGGTTCTAGGCCTGCAAATGAATGTATGATCTTGGCCTAATTGCTCAAGCTATGATTTACTGCTGGTTTGGTCCTCAGCATAACACACATGAAAGAGGACAAAATTTTAGGAAGTGTGGAGTATTAATAGATTTTAAATAATTTTAAATAATATTTATTTATAAACCATCAAATCCTTATTTACTCTTAAAAATCTCAAGCAGCACTTTGTTTTTTTCCACAGTCTGTTGGGCCAAAAACATTTATTTAATAGGGACTGAAGATTTTGCAGGTGGCCTTGGTAATTTAAATAAGGAATTCCCTTTAAGCCTAATTTGAAGTAACTTCTAATTTCAAGGGGAATTTGGTGCCCAAATTCCTTTACAGCAGATGCTTTCAAAGCTCCCTGGTGAAATGTTCAAGTGGTGAGAATTTTTTGCTTAGTACTTCTGCTGCAGGGTTATGTCAAACTAGAAGAGCCTTATATTATCCACTGATTGTTCTGGCATAGCATGGAGTACGCAGTATGATAAATAATGAAAGGTTTCAATTTTCCACTGCCTATTCTAGTCTTTTGTATCTGTGCAGAAGAAACATAACACTTTATTAATCTAACTCAGTAGTATTTGACATCCACCTAGCAAAGACACAAGTGACAAAGCCTAAGTCAGTACAGTCAGTGAAGACTGAACCAATTCCAACATTAAAAAAAGAGGGGTCCTTCTTCCATTCTTCCTCAGGATTGGTTTCACTCAGATTCAAAGATGAATCTGTGTTATTCTCAGAAATGCTATTTATTCTATTTATCATTACAGAGTTGCATTGTGCAGAGTCTTAATTATTACTAAATTCTGGTGACAGAACATTAACTGTAAGCAAAAAGAAACACATCGTAATTTTCCCAATTTGCTAGCATGGGAGCAATCTTTCTGCATGTAAACACTGCAAGCATCCATTCAGAGATACTGTTAAACACTGAATGCTACAAAGCTGCCTTCATAGATGCTTTTCTGAGAATAACTGCTTATTCTAAACCAGATTCTAGTATGTATTGCATTTCAATAGAGGTAATGCCCAAAATTTTACTTACTATTGGATTTCTGTAGCTTACAAACCCAAGCTTCCAGCAATAAAATAATGTTGTCAGAATGATCAGTCAAATGACCAGGGTTAGCAACTATTCTCACAGTGAGATGAATTCTACAGATTAACATACTGACAACATTCATTCTCTTTCACAGAAAGAAATGTATTGATCTTCGCTTTCAGGAGCTAAAAGTTAATTACTTTCCTGGACATTTCTACTAGGGCAAAAACCAAGGATCACTTATAATTTACCTGAAGGGAGAAAAGGTTGACATAGCTGCTAACCATTAAGTTTGACTTGCACTTTCTTACAGAAAATGGAAAATATTGATTTTCTTTTTTCCCCTAAGAAGTATTTGTAAAAATGACAGAAAGTATATAGCTTCTGTACTCCATACAGTATATACTGTTGTGACTGAATTCACTATTCAAAATTCAGAATTTATTCAGTGGGATTATTAGGAATTTTTGTTCTCTGTTTCTTCAGTATCATTCCTTCCACTCTACTTGCCATTAGGATTGATGGTGAGTTGATGTGACAACAAAGACTAGAAGAGATCAGAGTAAAAATTTATCTCCTTGTTAGATTGGGACATCTTACTTTACAGTCATTCTTTATTAACCTTCTTTTTGAGAGAAATACAGTAAAGATGCACAAATATCTGACTTGTTAAGACCATTCTCTTTCATGTAAGGAACTTTAAAATCTCTACAACTGAAAGGGATTTCAATTTAAATTGAAACTGTGAAGTCTACTAGATCAGCTTTGTATATTTTGCCCCTGACAAATGTACAAATATAACACTCATTTCAGGCAGACAAATACCCATAGCCCTCAGAGACTGAGGCTGAGATGTTAAAAACCACCTGTGGAATCTGTGCAGCCAAATCCTTTTAAAATGAAATATGTATTTTTCCAAAGTTTTCCAAAAGCTCTTCCAAAGCCCTGCTTCCTAACATTCTGGTTACCTTGATGTTTTCAGTGCAACAGGAAAGATGTTTTAAAGGTATTTTGAAAAAAGAACTTATGAGAAGTTCAAGAACTTTAAACACTGATATAATATACCATGGAGCAACCTTAAGAAAACTATCCACCATTATTTCAACCTTCTTTTCCCAGTCATTTCTGAAGCTAGTTGCTAGCTTCTGTTTTGCTACCTATATCAAATTTCAACTAAAATCAACAGCAAGACAAGCAGTGATTTCAGCAGGATGTGGATCAGGTCATACATCTGCATATTTAGACTTAGTTCCCAACTCACACTTTCTCCTGGGAAAGCTGCAACTGATAACACTGCTGGGAGGATCAGAGGAAATGTATGCGTTTGTGTGCACAGAAAACACTATTCAAAACACTATCCTGTGGAGCTTTAAATGGCTTTAAAACTTTCTTTTCTATTGAAGTTCAAGAACAAAATGATTGTTCTTAATTGCTATTATTTACAGCATTTGAAGCTCAGGTGCGGAGGTGGAGCATGTGGGTGTGACCCCTCCCACACCCCCAAATGATTGGCTAGAGGGAAAGTTATAATGCTCAGACAGCAACTCAGAAATAGCTGTAGCCCAGGGCATAGCTCTATGAAAGTCAACAATTCCAGAAGCACAATTATTACTTGTGATCATCAATCAGTAC